CATGTGAGCAATGCTGCTACTATTGGGACACTCTAGTTTTTTCCATTGAGCACTTTGGGATTCAAGGTTGGAGTGGAGTCCTTACTTTTGGCAAAGACTGGGTTTCAGGGTTCACGAATCTGAGCAAACGATTGTTGCAAATCTTCTTCAGCAATTCTGGAGTCTACAAAAAATACCTATTGCTGTGCCAATGCTCCAGGTTTTCAGACAAAAGCACACGCATCAAGCTCAAGATCTTTGCTTGCCAGTTTAGATGTACTTTCGTTCGAAACAAGTGCTATATTCAAGGGGCTCCTAGAAATCAGGGGCGAATGTTGTATTAATTCAAGATCCTGGGGTTGTTTTGGAGCAACCTTGAATTTCAATCCAGTGGTCAAAGACTTTCACAATTCAGCGATCCAATGGACACCACGTTCAGGTTTCTATTTGGGCAACTTTCCAGTTTTTGTTGATGAGCTTTTGTTTCAAGTAAGCTGTGCTCATTTTGACCCTTTTCGAGGAAGTGAGGGAGGCAATACTCAAAAGCATGTGACTCAATTCCTTGAAGTTTCCATTTGGAACAAATAAAAGCTAATCTGGACCCCGAAGCCTCTCAATTTGGAGCCAGGCGTCCTTTACAATGTGCGAGCAGGATCTTACTTCAATTTGTAATGGATTTCAATTCGTAAGGACACAGCCCATTTCAAATTTTAAATCGGACATCCTTTCCAAATAGGAGAAAAACATATGTAGAATTCAAAAACAAAATTCAATACAGCAAAATTCAATTGGCCTTTGCAACATACAAATCAATAGGGGGTTCCTTCCAAATAGATTGTAATAAATGAAAGATGTTAATCATAATGTTGAACTCGTGATTTGCATTGCTATTACTGTCGTTTACACAATGGCCCTTTTGTAGCATAACAAGGTCCGCACTTTATAACTTTTTAGGTCACTGCCACAAACCAAACAAAAACCAACCTGGTTCTTGGGAGGTGGGGGTATGTAGAAAATATACGCGGCGCAACTGGGTGCCTCAGCTGCGCCGTGGACGCGGGGCGCAAAGCCCGGGTCTGAGCCAAGCATGGAACTCGTACCGCAGTTTTTGAAGGCGTTCGATGGATTTCCCTGGCACATTGCACGAAACAAGCCCCAACAAATCTTGACATGTGGCAATCTGGTGGGAGTCGTGCAGGTAGGGGAGAATCTGGTTGAGTAAAGCAGCCGCAATGACGGATTTGTGGTCGCAACATCTCACACAACCAAGCGTGTGGCAAGAGTCATCCGTCTGCACGGGTGCATGCAAATCAACCAACTGGGGCCAGCGCTGAATTGGGGCCAACCAACGCAGATCCCCAATGAGAAGCAGCGCAGTGCACTCAAGGATTCTTTGTAGGGATTGGTTCCAATGGTCCCAACAGTCTTTCCCGCAAAAGAAATCGTGACGAGCCCCTCTGGGTTTGTGCGCGCAAAAGACGTCATGGTTGCGTCCCCAAAGGAATTCAGCGATTTCCCTTGCACAATGCCAGGCATGCAGTCGCAGGCGTGGTCAATTGAGGACTGTTTGACTTGAGTTTGATCATCCACAAGCCTCACCCGTTCCTCGTTCGAAAATTAAGGGCATTGCCAAATGCGCACATTGCGTCCTTCAGCCAGACCAAAAAGAACATAGACTAGATGAGGGCACTGTCACAAAGATCATGACATGCATTGGCAGGTCAACTGCAGTCCTTTGTTGGAGGACTGTTTCATACCTGAAATCCCTTCCTCGTTTCAAAAGAAATGGCATTGCAGTCTGGATGAAGGCAGTATGCCCTCATCTGATACATTCAATTGCAGTTCCCTGTTGGAGGACTGTTTCACGTGTGAGTCTAGCCCGTTCTCGCGAAAGTTATTGGTGCACGCATCCTAGAGCGCGACCAAGAAACTTTGATTAGATGAAGGCAGTAAACCGTCATCTATGACATTCAATTGCAGTCCCCTGTTGGAGGACTGTTTCACATGTAAGTCTTGCCCACATGTCCGAAAAGAAAGCCTCACCCAGTTTCTGGGTGCGCGCATCCTAGAGAGTGCGACCAAGAAACTTAGATTAGACGAAGGCAGTACACCGTCATCTACTCCATTCAATTGCAGTCCCCTGTTGGAGGACTGTTTCACGTGTGAGTCTAGCCCACATGTCCAAAGGAAGCCCAGCCCTTCCTCGCGAAAGTTACTGGTGCACGCATCCTAGAGTGCGACCAAGAAACTTAGATTAGACGAAGGCAGTTTGCCGTCATCTATTACATTCAAATGCAGTCCCCTGTTGGAGGACTGTTTCACGTGTGAGTCTAGCCCACATGTCCGAAAAGGAAGCCTCACCCAGTTACTGGGTGCGCGCATCCTAGAGAGAGCGACCAAGAAACTTAGATTAGATGAAGGCAGGATACCGTCATCTACTACATTCAATTGCAGTCCCCTGTTGGAGGACTGTTTCACGTGTGAGTCTAGCCCACATGTCCAAAGGAAGCCCAGCCCTTCCTCGCGAAAGTTACTGGTGCACGCATCCTAGAGTGCGACCAAGAAACTTAGATTAGACGAAGGCAGTTTGCCGTCATCTATTACATTCAAATGCAGTCCCCTGTTGGAGGACTGTTTCACGTGTGAGTCTAGCCCACATGTCCGAAAAGGAAGCCTCACCCAGTTACTGGGTGCGCGCATCCTAGAGAGAGCGACCAAGAAACTTAGATTAGATGAAGGCAGGATACCGTCATCTACTACATTCAATTGCAGTCCCCTGTTGGAGGACTGTTTCACGTGTGAGTCTAGCCCACATGTCCAAAGGAAGCCCAGCCCTTCCTCGCGAAAGTTACTGGTGCACGCATCCTAGAGTGCGACCAAGAAACTTAGATTAGACGAAGGCAGTTTGCCGTCATCTATTACATTCAAATGCAGTCCCCTGTTGGAGGACTGTTTCACATGTGAGTCTAGCCCGCATGTCCGAAAACGGAAGAGCGCGACCAAGAAACTTAGATTAGATGAAGGCAGGATACCGCCATCTATTACATTCATTTGCAGTCCCCTGTTGGAGGACTGTTTTCACATGTGAGTCTAGCCCGCATGTCCGAAAAAGGAAGAGCGCGACCAAGAAACTTAGATTAGATGAAGGCAGGATACCGTCATCTTACTACATTCCACTGCAGTCCTCTGTTGGAGGGCAGTTTCACATGTGAGTCTAGCCCGCATGTCCGAAAAGGAAGCCTCAAACCCCTTCCTGGTTGGAGACGAAATGGCATTGCTCCGAGAGCCAGACCAGGATAGTAGCTTCTGAATTCAGAGACAAGCAATTTTTGGAGTGAATCCATGGTCTTCGCAGCCATTGCTCTGTGCTACGTAGAGCAGAAGCCCTAACCACGAGCATGTGACTTGTTCAATCGCATATGTGCTGTAATTCCCTAGATGTGACAAGTAAACCAATCGCAACGGGTGGCCACTGCCCTGGGAAATGAACACGCAGTGCTCCAAATTCATCGGCCTGTTCTTCTTCCAAAGTGGTTCAACAAAAGCTGCATGCTTGCACTTTGTAGGGACAGAAAGCATAACTTAAACAACGCGAGGAGTCACCGGTTTTGGTTTCGACAGCCCAATGAGAGCAACATGGAAAAGTGGATGTTTGGGGCCTTTGTTGGACAACCAAAAACCCACCAAAACAGGAAATTCCCCCGCGCTGAACCAAACTTATGAACGGCCACTGTCTATATGAGGCTGCAAAAAGGCGAATGAACTTTGGCCTTGGGTTGAATTTCGGGCACTGCTCTTCGCTCTCCTCGATCCGTTCTCATCGCTTGGCGCTGCAGCTCCGGCTGCGGGCACTCTCCGAACGCACGCGCTGATCCGTCATCCCGCCTGCAACCAGGCGAGTCTGTTGAGATTCGTGGCGCAATCATTCTCACAGGCTGCAGGTTAAACATCAACCGAGGGCTGAAGGGGAAATTCATCAAACCAGGCTAATTTTTGCCAACAATTGGTTGGGTTATCGTGCTTGGAAAGGCACCTTTGTCCGAGTCTCTGCCGGGCCAAGTGTTTGAAACAGCTGTGTGACCTTTGACAGTGGCAGTGTGTTCAGCAGGGGTGTAAAGGGGTGTAAACAAATAGAACCTTTGCCTTGCAAATTGCCCAGCAAGTTTGTGAGGGCGCCGCCCTTTGAGGTTCGCCACCCCATTCTGGACCCAAGCCAGGCCAGGACGGTCGTCAGCACCACGCTTGCAACGCCACTGCACAATCACCACTTCGTCAGCCTCATGGTACCTGGCAATTTGGGCTGGTCAATCCCAGAAAAACAACTTAGCAGCAGCCACATGCTCAAGTTGCTACGTGTCCTTTTGAAAAACCTCGATGGCACCGGGACCTACAAAGCACACCTTGCAGGCTTGCCTAGTTCCCTACTTGTTCCAGCCAACTTTGCGGCTTGTCTGCATTTCGACTGCCTTGCCTGGCTTGGCGCAAGCCATCGCGCTCATCCCCGAAGCGAGGCTGGTACCTCAAGGCGGCTTGCAAAATGACTGGATCGCCCCTCGAAAAGGCATGTCGAATCGATCTTCCTTGAAAAGCATGAAGCCAATGGGAGGGCTTGGAAAGCCTCAAGCACCCTTCAGCTCCAGTCTGGCTGAATTCCTGATCCCATGACTGATGAGGCCATCAAAGCGAGCAAATCCGCAAACCACTTCAGTCTGTGACCAATTGACACAGATACAAACAACACGGGTGCAGAAACACAGAGACGCAAAGTCTAAACACGTACGCGCACCGCCCCACACACACACACATGCACAGGTTTCAATCATGCGTCTACGTTCCATCCAACATACGCCGATACGCTGGCTTCGCGTTGAACACTTCTTCGACATTGAAACCAGGCTGCCCGAGGCGTAGCAACGGCGCCAGATCCATCCAAAAGACTTCCCGCAGGAAGGGCCCCTGGGTGGTGCTCAGCTCCGTCGGCAGCTTCCACGCCAAGTGCTGGTGCGCCAATAGGATGATGCTCACCTCAGTGCCAGGCTCGATGGTGAAATCAAGGGCCTTCGTTTCAGGCCCTAAACCCAAAAAAACCCTAATGCCACAGGTCGGTTCTGTTTACAGGTACAACTGCCTTCCACCAAACGCCTGGAAGCGCAAAAACAACTTTTGAAAGATCACTTTTGGAAAAGCGGCCTGCGGACTTCCTTGCTCGTTTTGGTTGAACCATTGAGGCACGTGACGCGCGGCTCTTGGAGAGGAACGTTTTTGCCTTTGGGGCCAAAACAGGGTGGCAGGCACTGTGAGCAGCATCGAAGTTGGCAGCCTGGGCCCTTGTGCTTCTGAAGGCAACCCTGGAATTCATGGGTGTGTCTGTCTTGAGGGTGCAAACCACATTTTTGGGGTCTTGCTATGTGGACAAACGCAATTATAGCACATTGTTGAGTTGCGTGCTGGGTGCCTGCCGGGAGGCTGAACGGAGCCCTGTTGTGTGTGTGTGTGTGTGTGTGCCTGTGTCTGTGTCTGTGCCTCTGTGTGCGCGTGCGGGGTTCTGAGTCAAATTGCTTAGTTTTTTTTATGCAAAAAACGCTGACGGCTCGACGCCCTCACTTGCCAAACAAGTCGGACTGAGGAGACATGCCAAACCCCCAATGGCCTGGGAAACAAAGGGCACCATTTTCTGTGGTTGATTAAACAAGGGCCCCGAAGGGGAAACCGTTAAGCGCTGGGTGTCCGGACATGGACTGAAAGCTGGTAAACCAAACGCTCACGTTGCCTCGAAGGCACCTTGCCACCGCCCTCTGCCAAGTCCAGAAATGCGGCGACGCTCCGCACAAGCCCTGGATCAAGCCTTGAATGGCATCTTTTACCTGAGTCTTTGGCATTTTGCCTCTCCAAAAATCTAAGAGATAGCAGAGAAATTGTCATTCTCCAAACGGAGGTCGTACGAGCAACCAAGCCACCGTGCTGCTGGTGCTCCTGGACTTTGCTCCCCTTGGAAATGGCATGACCTCGTTTGGAATTGGCGAAAAAGGCCCCTTGCAACACCCAAAGCAGCAAATGGACCTGTCGCAACATTGCGGAACCGCGCGTTTTCAAAACATCGCAATGAAGCCAGCTTTGAAGCTTCTGGGCAAGTGCATCTGCCTTGAGAGTCAATGATTATCGCAGCAAAACCAAAGAAGCTATCAATATTTGCTCTAAGCCCTTGGCTTCGCAATGCACTTCCTTTGTCAGGCCAGAAAGTAGAAAACACGGCGTCAACAAATGAGAAGTAACCAACGATCGAAGTTGGCCAGCCACGTTCTGTGGGGCCAGTTTGGCATACCTTCAAGCAGAAACTGGCAATTTAGGACCACCATTGAGACTCATTAACCTGGTGGATTATTAGGGTGTGTTCCCCCCCAAAAGTGAAGGATGCCCTCTACCATGGGACAACCCTTTCAGTGGCTTACTATTGGGGTTTATCCAGTCCAACTGTGGTGCGACGTGGATTTCGCGCCGTGAGCAAGGCCCATTCTCTTGGCACTGGGTACGCGAAACATATTGTCAGCTTCTCTTTCATGTGTAGTTAACATGTGTAGTCAACTTTAACATATCGGCCGAGGAGACCCCAGTGACCAAGGCCCCGGCCCAAATAGCCGCAGCCAGTGCCTTTGGGCTGTAGCTTGGCAGTCGTGTTGCGTCCACCCCGTTTGCCACAGTCACCCCACAGCTCCTCCGCTAGGAAGAACAAGCGCCTTCTTACTTGCACCCCGTCCCCAAGTGCCCAGACGGACCTCTGTAAACCCATCAAACAAGCACGGAAAAGGACTCAACCTCAACTCGTTTCACTCAAGGGGAAATAAAGATCCATGACTTACTTCGTACCGAGTAAAAGGCCGCCTCTTTGCATTGCTCTTTTTTGGCTGAAGATTCGTGTGACAAAGTAACCGCTGCGCAAAGGGCCTGAAAATCAAAGGCAACCTTCTGGGAGCTTGACACACACCTAAGGGTACAAGGTCGGCTTCTACAACTACGTTCTGACTTTAAAGGGATTAAGGAGAATTGGCCCCTCCATTTTGAACAGCTCGAGCGCTATACAAACAAAGCACCCCAGAAAGTATGGAGAGGAGAATGCCAGCCACTTGTGAGATGGCTTACTCTGCCGAATGCCTAACTCAAACCTGTACCGATCGTCAGCTGGGCGCGGTTGAAAGGAAAACCAAAAGGAACCCAGGGTCATTTTGGAGGGTCTCTACTTCAGAAAGGACATCTACCCATTCACACTGAATTGATCAAAACTAACCATTGGCACAAACATTTTCATTAGGAAGCAACAGGAACCCAACCATTTGGAGGCGCCCCTATAACAAGTTAACTTCTTTTTCACCACCAAATGGTCTGCCAAAATTGTTTGATGGCCATAACCGCGTGTTCCTGTCACCATGTGTGGTTCCAGTCTTGGTATTTCGGTTCAGTCTTGCCAACCCTCAGCCATGGTCTCAAACAGTTTGCCTTCCCAACAAAGCGGAGAAGTCCAAACTTGCCAAATTGTCTTCCCAAAGAGTCTGAAGTCCAGAGGCTCAGTTGGCTGTGGGTCAAAATATGTACCCAAAATGGAACCCTGGTAAATGGAAACATGGACTAAGACCTGTGGTCCCCTCATGGTTTAATTTTGACCCATACCCAGTTCTTGTTCGTTCGCCTTTTTGTGCGACGTCTCCTGAGCCACTCCACCGTGCGTTTCAGCTCCACCTCCAGGCCCGATGGCCAGCAAAGCTCCGTAGAGGTCCAGTTCAGCTCCAGCCCCGGCAGCTTCTGCGAAACTCGATGGATGTCATCTGCGGGTTATTTTTGAGACCTTCGTTTGTAAGACTTTTCCGGGAACATCTGGGTTGTGGGAAACATTTGACTGGGTTTGCTATTGTGAAGTCCTCAAATGCGCATTCCAGCTGCTGGGTGGTATGTGGGAGGGGGTGGGGGAATTCATCCAGGTATGTGGGTGTCTTTCTGGACGGAAGCCTTTTGCCTGGAAAGCAGAAGGACACACATCTTTTGGGGCCACTCAACTTGAGAAACAACTCCAACTCCTTCTCTCCTTAACAGGCAAGCAGAACATAGATTCTGACCCACAAAAACACTTGTTCCGCTTTTGGTTTGAAACCCAAAAGAATATCTTGGACTCTTGTCCTTCGTTAGCAAAAATAGATCCCAAATAAGTGACACCTATTTGGAGAAAATTGGATCATGCCTGCGTGACCAGCTTGGCCGCTGCAGCCGTGAAGAGGTGAGTGCACTCCCCCACGAAGAGGATCTTCTTGGATGCGTCCTGGCACAAAGACCCAAAGCCAAGCGGCCGAATCTAACATCTTGGTTCAGCTAGTTTTGCCTTTCTCCTTCTTGTCCTCCTGGATTGGCAAAAGAGAGTGCAACTTGTTGTTGTCAACAAGAGCTGTCTTACCATTCCAGGAACTCTGGGAGTGAGGGAAAACGCAAAGCGGGTTCTTAGTGGCTCCAGTTTTGGCAAGTCTAGTGATGGTCTCAAACAGCCTGCCTGCCACGGCAGACCAGTGTCTACTTAGAAAGGGCGCCATTGTTGTGTTTCCGAGTCTTTCAGCCCCTAGATTCATCAAAGGCTATGAATGCCAAGGCGCGACCTGAGCCTGGTTGATCATCTCATGAGACTTGAACATTGGCTGACCCTAAATAGGGTTCCTGACAAATGCGCCGTAGGATGCAACAAACACGATTTGGCATGCCAATAAGGTTTGCAACCCTTTGGTAGGACCTAAAGAGACCCCAGCTCCCTCCATAGGCCTTGGCAGTCAGCAGCAAATCCTCCGGTGTGACAGTCTCCCTCTGGCGCTGAGCTAAAGCGGCCTGGCTGCAAGGAATACATGAACGCACGTATAAAAGTCTGTGATTCACATCGATCTGGCACGAAGATTGCGAAATGTGCAGAGTCGCATTTACAGCAAACCTGATTGATTTTCAATGTCAAAGTTGGCGCTGACTCTTGTACAAAGTATGACTAATCCAACAACTGAGTGTGCCCAAAAAACAATATGCTCATCATGGGGGAGTTCGTCGTATCCATCCCAAATTTCATCTGGCCAGTGGCCGCCCGTAGAAGCCCGGCTCCGGAATCACGAAAGTAGCAATGGCCTTCGTCGGGTTTGTGAAAGCTAGGCTACGAAAGCACTGCAATGCGGCCCGTGTGAGTTCCACTTCACGCCGTCCCTGCTAGTCTTGACACCTGCTTTGCCCTGCCGCATGAGGACGGGAGAACTCCCAACCAAACTGAAACAGTAGGGAATCGAGAGACGTCTTGGGAATACGCCTCGAAAAGGAATCCACAGGGATTCCCTGCCAACAGCCAGGCAAACAATTCCCAGGAAGCGCCTGGGACTGTGGGGCGTCTGTCCTCTCCGGCAACCTTCCCCTTGCCATCTGTGCCGGCGGCACAGCTGGCGCAAATGCACGTGTGTCCTTGCAGGGTGTGGGTGGGGAACTTCACGGAGCCCTTCTAGGCACAATCGACTGGTCCTATTCATATTGCCACTCTCAAATTCGCCCTCCAAGCTGACTCTAAGTGATGGTTTAGGGGGAAACAACCCCAGTTTCTGACTTAGGCACGCCAGAAGTTCATCAGCGCCGCTTGGCAACCAAAGCTGGAGCATCTCTCCCTTCGAGCTTTGTGGCTGTCCTGCCGCCTGCTGATGCCACTGATGTGGCGAACCGGTGGGGGAGCTAGGGCGGTCAAAGGCGACAGCTCCAGCTTCCTTATGCATGCCATGTACCCCAAGCTTGTCAGCAACTCCCACACACACACACAGACCGAAACTGCACAACGGCCAGCCGGAAAACGTCCGATCGATTTATCCCCCGACGGAGCACTCCTCTGCTTCGTTTGCTTGATTTGAAGGGGAACCCGTTCCAACAGAATGGCAAAGACGTCAGCCACGCCGAGCAGCTTGCAGAGTTGCAGCTGTGCAAGGCGCGGAACCTCTGCATAGCGCCCTGGCCCAGGTCGGCGGGCCCAAACTCCTGCGACGGAAGGGGAAAAATCCGCCGACCCCTTTGCAAAAGCAAAGTTAGTCTCTGCAAAGGGGCGAGGCGTGTTCTAAGTGGTGGTTAGGGGGAGTCTGAGGGGGGGAGGGGGGTCCCGCAGCGGATTTTTGACACGCCTAACCTCTAACCCTAACCTCTAACCCTAACCTCTAACCCTAACCTCTAACCCTAACCTCTAACCCTAACCTCTAACTCTAACCTCTAACCCTAACCTCTAACCCTAACCTCTAGCCCTAACCTCTAACCCTAACCTCTAACCCCAACCTCTAACCCTAACCTCTTCCCCTAACCTCTAACCCTATCCTCTAACCCTAACCTCTAACCCTAACCTCTAACCCTAACCTCTAACCCTAACCTCTAACCCAAACCTCTAACTCTAACCTCTAACCCTAACCTCTAACCCTAACCTCTAGCCCTAACCTCTAACCCTAACCTCTAACTTTAACCTCTAACCGTGAGGATGGATGATGATGATGAAAGACTAGGAAGCTGACGGAAGACTACGGGAAGATGACGGGAAGCTGACAGAAGACTACGGGAAGATGACGGAAGACTGCGGGAAGCTGACGGGAAGATGACGGAAGACTACGGGAAGAGAACGGAAGACTGCGGGAAGATGGCGGAAGACTACGGGAAGATGACGGAAGACTACGGGAAGATGACGGGAAGATGACGGAAGACTACCGGAAGATGACCCTACTCTAACCCTAACCTCTAACCCTAACCTCTAACCCTAGCCTCTAACCCTAACCTCTAACCCTAACCTTTAACCTTAACCTCTGACCTTAACCTTTAACCCTAACCTCTAACCTTAACCTCTAACCCGAACCTCTAAACCTAACCTCTAACCCTAACCTCTAACTTTAACCTCTAACCGTGAGGATGGATGATGATGATGAAAGACTAGGAAGATGACGGAAGACTACGGGAAGATGACGGAAGAGTACGGGAAGCTGACGGGAAGATGACGGAAGACTGCGGGAAAATGCCGGAAGACCACGGGAAGATGACGGAAGAGTACGGGAAGATGACGGGAAGCTGACGGAAGACTGACGGAAGACTACCGGAAGATGACGGAAGACTACGGGAAGATGACGGGAAGCTGACTACGGGACTGCGGGAAGATGACGGAAGACTACGGGAAGATGACAGAAGACTACGGGAAAATGACGGAAAGACTACGGGAGATGATGGGAAGATGACGGAAGACTAAGGGAAGATGACGGAAGACTGCGGGAAGACTACGGGAAGAGGACGGAAGACTATGGGAAGCTGACGGAAGACTGCGGGAAGATGACGGAAGACTACGGGGATATGACGGAAGAATACACGAAGATGACGGAAGACTACGGGAAGATGACGATGATGATGATGATGCTGATGATGCTGCTGAGGATGATGAAGATGATCTGATGATGATTTTGATGATGATGCTGATGATGATGATGATGGTGATGCCGATGATGATGATGACGCCGCTGATGATGATGATGATGATGGTGACGAGGATGATGATGATGATCAGGAGGATGATGAGGATGATGATCTGACAATGGTGCTGATGCTGGATGATGAGGATGATGATGCTACTGAGGCTGAGGATGATGATGGATGATGATGACGACATGGTGGATGATGACGATGATGATGATGCATCGTCCTCATTCATCAGGTTGAGCAGCATCATCTTCATCCTCCTCATCATCATTATCATCAGCGGCGCCATCATCGGCCTCGTCATCCAGCATCATCATCAGCCTCATCATCCCCGCATGAAGCCAGACGTTGGAGAAAAATCCGGCCCTTGTTATCGCTGAGAGAAAGCCCGGCTCTTCTCCGTCCCAGACCAAAAAGCAGCTTCCGCATCCCCAGCATGCCAGGCATCACCCCAGACACCTGCAGGATGATGCCGGTGAAGCGGGGGATGCAAAAGCTGCCTTTTTTCCCGACATTCGAAGACCAAAAAGGCAGTTCCTGCATCCCCAGCAAGCAAAGCATCACCCCGGGCACCTGCAGGATGATGCTGGTGAAGCGGGGGATGCAAAAGCTGCCTCTTTTTCCAACATTCGAAGACCAAAAAGGCAGCTCCTGCATCCCCAGCAAGCAAAGCATCACCCCGGGCACCTGCAGGATGATGCTGGTGAAGCTGCCTTTTTCTACAACGATGGAAGACCAAAAAACAAAGGCAGCCCCCGCATCCCCAGCATGCGAGACCTTGGCGCCGATCCTCTCCAACGTGTGTGATGCTGGCTAAATCCGGCCACCGGACGTGATCGGGGCCGCAGGCCAAAGCCCGTTAGGGCTTACTTTCAGGTATAAGGCCGCGCGCCCCATGCCGCCGACCATGCGCGGACCATGACCAGAACATGCGCATACGTTTTATGCTGGGCCCTCCCTTATAAGGGGCGAAGGATTTGCGGATTGGTTTAGGCGTTTTTGTAGCATCTCCCCGCAGCATCCAAAAACGAGTCCAAAAACGAGTATTTTTGGGGGGTGCCTAATACTGGACAACACCCCCAGCATTGCCAGCATCATCCCGGATGATGCGGACGATGCTATGCATGCTGGCGATGCGAAACAAGGGGCTGAAAGGAAACAGGAGTGACTGGAAAGCGAACGAAATGCAAGTCAAAGGCATTGCACGAAAATGAAGAGGGCGCTGGAGAGAAACCAAGCTGCAGGAAAATGAAAGATCGAAAAGGGAAAGGAATGCGAATGAAGGAGTCTTCAAGGAAATGAAGGGAGCTGAAGCGGCAGTGAAGTGGAAGGAAGTGAAGGGACATGCCAGGAAACTTAGAGGGAAAGGAGATGAAAGAACGGGAGGGGTGCCCGGTGGCCGGCTGTGTCGCGTCAGCGTGTAAATACAAAGACCCGTTGTGCCAAAAGTGGGAGGATGGAAATATCTGGATACGCCCGTGCCACTTTTCGTGCACTTTTTGAGGCTACCTTTTCAAGAGACACTGGAAACCAAGGTGAGGTCCACCATTTGGGCCGCCCGTAAGAGACGCGCCATGGCTCCTGCTCCAACGACAAGACCTGCGGGTCCGTCAGGCGGACGGGCCGGTGTTGACCGGGTCCCAAAACGCCTTGAAGGTCAGAAGCCATCATTCGACCATGCCTCAGCTTCCTCTACTTTGTGGTTTGGAGGTTAAGGGGGGGGTTTCCCATTTATCCTCTACAACAGCCAGGGGGGAAAACCAGCCGTGGACTTCAGAAGGGAGTGTAACCCCAAATACGTATCAGCTGACCAACACATCACCCCAGCATCCGCCAACCCAACAGGTGAGGTGCGTGGAGTCCAGGCAGAAATGCGCAAAGGCCTCCGGCGCCATGCTGTAGTTCGCGCTGCTCGCCGGCACCAAAATCTCCCGCGGTTGTTGATCCACTTCACGAAGCCCTGCTCCGCGGAGCCCCTCAGGAACTCCTCCGCGATGAAAACGTTGGAAGGCGCGCCTTTGACTGCACCTTGGTACACGAAGCACCGAGTGCAGCACACAAGCTGCGGCACTCGGGCCTCTGGAGCTTTGCGGATGCCAAGCTTTTGGAGTTGGCTCTGCCGTCGCCTTTCGCGAGCTCGGCCGGCTTTGTGCTGAAAGGCCTCCGCCAGAGCATGCTGGAAGGAGTGTGCCAACATGCGGGTCTGCAACGTGTTCTTGACAAACAGCCTGACATAGTCCAGTGAGTCGTCATGCTCCACAAACTTGGAGAACTTGGCAACCATAGGAGCCTTCTTGCGCGTATCCCTGAAATGATGCACCACGCGCATGGCACCTTGCATGATTGGGTTCTGGTGCATGGCAACAAGGCACTTCTTGCGGCCCACTTCTTTCAACGTGCCGTGCGCGAGTGTGAACTTGACACGCTCTGCCTCGCTCCAGCGCTTCAATGCAAATACAGGTGTCTTGCCGTACCGTCGAGCACTGTCGAACGCAACAGCACGCACAGTCCGCTCATTGCGGGCAATCTGGCGTGTGACAGTGATGGTATGGCTGAGGGTGGTGAATGTGTTGACCAGGTTGTCCATTTCATAACTCGCTTGGCTAAATGTCCCTCGGCCAATTTGCAAAACTTGCTGAAGAATCATGAAGTCACACAGTCCAAGCCCAACTGTGTGGATCGTCAAGCCCAAATGCTTCGCTGCAAGCAGCTGAAGCTCTGGGAGAACGTGCGCTTGTAGCGCTGACGGGCAGCCATCGGACAAGAACACCACCTGAACTTTGTTCCCAGGCGCCAAAAACTGCGGCAAGGCATTCACCAGCGACTCATAGTGTATGTGCCCAGACGGCTGGAAATCCTCTGGCCTGCTCAGCGCCTCTTTGACATCGGAGGCACGGCGGCAAAGTATTCGAGCCTGATAGGTGGAGTTGGAAAAGGTGACGAGGGAGTAGGTATCCTCAGAAACCCCATGGCCATGGGGGAAAAAAAACAACTTGCTTTGGTCGATTAAAGCGAACCCCTGGCACAGGGCAGCTGAGAAGCTGACACCGCTCCACTGGACTGTTGTTGGTTGATGAGTTGCTGCAAGGCCTGCCGGAGGGCATCGATCCGGCGCAGCGGCATCTTGTCGGTTATGACGTCTGGCGTCCTGCGGGGGTGACATCCCAGAAACGAGCGAGGTGACGCAACCTGCCACATTTTGCCTAACGTGCTTCCAACTTTCAACTCACACATGTCAATCATCTGGAGGCATTTCCTTCTCTCTCCCTCTCTCTCTCTCTCTCTCTGCCGTTAAAATACGTTGGTACTTTACTGCAAGTGCAAGTGTTGTTTCTGTTGTCACAAACACAAATGTAGTTAGCCAGCATGCACTCTTTTCCTGGTAGACTCAAGGCCTGCAGTCGGGTAGTGTACATCATGCATGCACAAGTGACAAGTAGTGCAACATGATATTTGACACGGCCCCTTGGTTAAAAGACCTTGTAGTGTCCTTTAACAATAGACCCAAAAGGTGGTATTGACAGTAGTGGCAAAAACGAATGCACATGTTGTTTGCCGATGCTACTGTAGCGAACAGGCATGTAGTCTCTTTAAAAAAAAAGATGACCGAAGGTGGGTATCCACAGCGCTGCTGTCTGTAGTTCAACTAACCTTTAAATGATCAAAAGGTGAAATTGCTGTACAAGAACCCTAAATGGCTCTCAGTCATCTCGTAGTACGATGACGTAGTACAGCACGTAGTTGCAGCTCCACCTAGAGATCAGGTGTGCTTAGTCCAGTGTTGGACTCGGTAGTTCTGGACTTGGCTGATGCGGTAGCCCAAGCCTGCATAGTGGTTGGTAGTGAATGTGTTGAGGAAGTCTGGACCGCCACGGAGGCGGTTGTAGTCGCATTCTGGTGGTGCAAGTGCTTGGCCGGTTGTAGTGAGGTAGTTGTGGAGTAGTAGTTTGTGTTGTGTGGAAAGATTTGTAGCCGTGAGGAGGGTGATGCCGTAGTAGGTGACACTTTTGTGTAGCATCGTGTTGATGGACTTGTAGTGGTGGTCTTGAAGTTGTTGTGGTTGGTCGAAGTAGTTGAGTAGTTCTGGTAGGTACAGGGGCATGTGGTAGTTCCAAATGAAGTTGTTGGACAGGTTGAATGTAGTGGTGATCTGGTCCAAGTTGTAGGTGATTCGGTGTAGTCGTTGATGTAGCTGGCGTGTAGGTAGGTGGTGCTCGTCTTTGATTGAGATCATGTGGCTCACGTAGTCGCGGCAGAAGTTGATGAGTTGTCCAGCACTGACAAATCGTAGTAGAACTTCTGGTGGAATGTGTAGTTGGATGATGACCATCGAGTTGGTGTACTGAGTTGTGAGGTGTAGTGATGTTAGGTTGTAGTAGTAGAAGTTGACTGCCTCTGAAAGACGTAGGTGAAGAGGTAGTGAGTCGTAGTGTGGCATCCGTAGGTCTGAAGGTAGGTCGTGAACTGGTAGGTTGTAGTTGAGCTCGGGGATGGGTGTAGTTTGTTGTTGACTTAGTAGTTGGAACTCCTCGAGCGTCAAAGCCACGTAGACCCTGAAGTAGTTCTGCTCCGGGTCGATCGCTGGAGTGTCAGGGATGTTGTTCTCAATTGTAGTGAGGTGTGCCAAGATGTCGTCGGGTCTGTAGAAAGGTGCCGGTGTGGGTAGTTGGTGATTGAAGTTGTAGTTGAGGGAGTTGTAGGCCTCAGGTGGTGGTGTGGCCAAAGTAGCCATGCTGCTGGAGTCGGTAGTGCCCTGCCGATCCGGTGGTGTGAAAACACGGTCCGGTGTAGTACTGCCAGCCTGTTGTTCGACGGGCAGAGTAGTCTCTGGCGCTGATGTAGTAACCTCCATCGGCATGACATCCAGCGTAGTCGCATCCATGGGCGTAGTTCCAGCCATTGCTGGTAGTTCGGCCTATCGAGATGCAGTGAAACGGGGCAGACAGTAGTGAGCCAATGTTAGCTCACAAAAGCACATGCGGGCATGTAGTAAAACACAAAACAACATGTAGTGTTGACTCAAGCCGCCAAAAGCCGCCAAAAGTGCAAGTGCAAATTACTGGTGGTTACAATTACTATTACTTGTAGTCACTGTTACTGTTACTGTTACTTAAATGCAGGTAGTTACATATGGCCATATACAAACTGTTGTGATTGATGTGCAACAGTTGTGAAACAGTTGTTGTTCGTAGTGCTAAACACGTATGCCAATGCTCTGTATGAGCCTCTGTAGTGTTTCTTTGCTAATGTATTTTGTGAACAAGTCTGAGCTGTTGTGTAGTGTGTTGATTTTGAGAATTCTGATGATGTCGTGCTTGATGAGGTCTTGTGTGTAGAGAAATTTAGGGTCGATGTGTTTTGCTCGTTTGCTAGTGCCTTGTCGTGTAGCAATGCTCTTGCCTGCTGTGGAGTCTGTGTGGATGCGTAGATTTAGCTTGCTGCAAATGTTGGTTTCAAGTAGGAAGTTTCTGAGGTGTAGTCCCTCATTGACTCCTGTGCAAATGGCGTAGAGTTCAGACTCTGCTGAGCTGAGTGCTATTGTAGCTTGTGTTCTGCTGCCAAATGCAACTGTTGTTCCTAAAAGATGATGTTGAAACCTGAAGTTGATTTCCTGGTAGTAGGGCATCCTGCCCAGTCGGCATCGACATGAACGTCGAGATCCAGGATGTTGTTGGTGTTTGCTCTGAGTGTTGTTGTTGGTTCTATGGTGAATTTGTAGTGCTTGGTGCCGTGCAAGTAGCGTAGTAGATGTTTGACTCTCTTTTGTGAAAGTTCTGTAGGTGCTGTGAGGTCTCGTGCTAGTTCTTTTGTGGAGTATGCAATGTCTGGTCGTGTGTATGCTAACCATTGAAGTTTGCCAACAATTCTTCTGTACCTTTTGTGTTGTTCGTGGTCAAGTAGTGCTTCATCTTCTATTGTTGGTTTGTAGTGTGCAATTCCTGGAGTGTTCACTGAGTTGCAGTTGTTCATTCCAGACTCCTCGATCATGTTGTCGATGTAGGAGTCCTTTAGTCCAAGATTGCAGTAGTTGCCAAAGTGGTCGATGTTTCTTCCAAGAAATTGTTGTGGTTTGCCAGGTTCGAGGTAGCCGATGTGCTTGAGTAGGACCTGCTTCTGGATGGCCTCGAAGGTGGAGTCGACAGTAGTCTTGTCACCAAGTACCAAGAGATCATCCACGTAGACCATGATGTAGCAGTCGCGAGTCGCATTGGTGTAGACGTTAGGTTCTGACTTTAGTCTTACAAAGCTGAGCTTTTGTAACACTTCAGCCAGGTAGTCCTGCCATGCTTTTGGTGAACTGCGTAGTCCATACATGGCTTTCTTTAGTCGCCAGATTTTGTCCTGTTGTGGACAAAGTTCTTTAGGTGGCCAAAGGTAGACGTCACGTTGTTTACCGTCGTGGTCTTTTGCGATGGGTGCGTGTAGAAATGCTGTAGAGACGTCACCTAGTCGCGCGATCCAGTTTGGTCGTGACATTTGTAGTGCGAGAAGTGTCCGGAGTGTCGTGAACATTGGTGTAGAGGCGTAGACGGAGTCTTCGTCCTCGATCTTCTCGGTGTAGCCTTTTGCGACGATTCGGCTTCGTACTCCTGGTCCTTTCTTTCTGTGTACCCATCTTGTAGGTATCGCTTCTCTGATGACGTTGTCGTCGACGGTAGACGCATCTACTTCGTCGTAGACGTCATGTAGCTTCATTTGGTTTGACTCGTGTTTCATTCCTTCCAGTAGTTGTGTTTCGTCGTAACCTTCGTTGTCGAAGATTATGGTTGGTCTTCTGAGGTGTCGTCGTTTGTGTAGGGGGTGATGAATTTGCCGTTGGGAAGTGTCACTGCGTTAATTTTCTGTCGTAGTGGTGGTGGTTCTTTGGTTGCTTGCTCCGTTGATCTGATTGTAGTGTCCTTTGAGGTCTTCTGTGCTTTAGTGGGTTGCATTACTTCTTCCGGAGTTAAACGTCGTAGTGTTTGTCGAGGTGGTGCTGGTAGTGGTGGATGTTGTCGTCCGGTTGGTGAAGTAGCCATCGGACTATCCGGTAGTGGTCGTGAACTTGACGTCGATGTTGACGGAAGTCGTGGAGGTGGTGTGGTGCGTTGTTGTTTTGTTGCGGGTTCCGCAACGATGTCGTCCGTAGCGTTCGTTTGTTGTCCGAAATCTTGCGTGGACCTTCTTTTCTCTGACGGTGGTAGTTGCGCATCCAACAGTGTTGCGAAGGATGGGTTGTAGGTGTTCCGTCGTGGTGCCCACGGTGTGCCGGAAACTTTGTTCAATAGTGCGAGGTCGTATTTGAAGTCCGGTTGTAGTCTCCGCACTGTTCGTACCTTTTGTACGCCTGATTCCGTTGCGACGTAGTTTTCTCCGGTTTCGGAAACTTTTCCGAGCCAGATGCATTTCTGCATCCGTAGGTCTGCTTTTGGAAGTTTCTTGTGTTGTGGTGGAAGGTAGAGTAGTGTCTCGCCAAATTCGCAGATTGCTCGCTCGTAGTTTCTTCCCCAGCGGCGTTCAAAGCTTGTGTAGCCGTCTGAGTGGATGACGTAGCGATTTACCGTCCATGCTGCATGTCGTACTATCCAAGGTAGTAGACAGTGCTTTGTGGACATCGTCATGCTGTAGTTGCTTTCAACCTGAGCTTTGACGACGCGGATTTGTCCGAGGAGTGTTCTATGTAGTCGCTCAACGCTTCCTTGACTGTTGCTGCTGTAGGACGGTGAATGTCGTACAGTCATTGAGCCGACTTTAGATGCTGTTGCTTGTAGTAGTGCATTGAGTGTGTCTTCGTTGTCGCTTTGTAGTATGCCGTGTGTTCTTCCGCATTCAAAGATGAATGCTTGTAGGTTGTTGTTCTCCAAAGTTGTTGTGAGTGATTGTAGTTCTGTGAGGTTCAAGTGTTGTTGATTGGTGGATTGTCTGGTCCAATCTGTTGGGATGTGGCATAGGGTTGGTCTAAGATGTTGTGTGGTGGTGTTCTTGATCCAGTGTTCTCCTTGTCTTTCCCAGTAGTCTTTCTTGGTTGTCCTTCGGTGCTGTGAGGTGGTCTGTGGTTGTCTCCTTTGGTTGTGTTGGGTCAAGTGGTTAGAAGGTGCTTGTTTTGATCTCCATACTGCGGTTTTTTGTGGTGCTCGTAGTTGGATCTTTGATCTGGTTGGTGGTGTGTCCATTAGCCGTTGTGGTTGTGAGCTCTGCCTTGTTGGTGCGGTCTTTGATGTTGCTCTGCGTGTAGGTATTATCTTTCTTCTGAATCTGGTTTCTCCAGTCCAGTTGTCACCTTCTGGTCTTCGTTGTAGTTCTTGCTTGGAAAGTTGTGTTGGGTTCTCTTGTAGTTGTTCTTGCTCTTGCCCTTGTCTGTTGATGATGGTTAGTCGCCAATCATCTAGTTCTCCTTCTGGTATTGGGCAACCACTGTTGTGTGGTGAACAATGCTTTGCGTGGTCGTTTGTGTACTCTGACGGCGTAGCCACCATCAAGTTTCCAGTAGTCAGTGTTTCCACCAAGGATCTGTCGCAGTCCTTGGTCTGTGTGTGTGAGTGGTGCAATTTGTTCTTGTTGTTGTTTTGCTTCCTCTGTAGGTTGAATCACAGCAATGGATTTTCCATTGTCTGTGTCATTGGGTAGATGTCGAATCCTGTAAATATGTCGATCTTCTCTGCTCGTAGGTAGAAAAGTCCTGAGTGTCTTATGAGGTGTGCTTGTTGTTGCCCATGTGTGGTGGTGCAGTGTCGTGGAGTGAAGTCGAGTCCATATCCTCTATCAAGTAGTCTTGAAGCACTGAGGATTGGATACTTCACATCACAAACGTAGTAGGGTATCCTGATGCTGAAGTTGTCCTGCTTGTAGGGAACATACTCGATGCCGTAGACAGGAATCTTCTTGTTGGTAACCGTGTAGAGTTGTGGAACTGATTCTCCACAAGGTCGTAGCGGTAGGTCTGGCGCGTAGTCCTTCGGGCAAACATGTGTAGATGCTCCTGAGTCGATCAACAGGTGGCGGTATGACTTGAAGTTGGAGTACATGATGTAGCGTGTGGTAGTGTCCTCAATCTTCTTGTTCCTTTGCTGTTGTGTTGCTGCTGCTATGTCGAAGTGTAGCTGTGTGGTGTCTTCTTGTAGGAATTGTTGAAAGCTCTTGCTGTGATCGTTCCATGATGTTGTGTGTGTTGTTTTGTTGCGAAGTAGTGACTTGGATTTGTGCTTGTGTAGTCGTGACTTTGCTTGTCTGATGTGTCCAATGGTGAGGTGTGACTCGTTGATGCCCCCAATGTAGTTTGCTGTGTCCTCATAGCTGTTGTCATTCCAATCCCAGCTGTTGTCACAGTCCTAGTCGTTCCAGTTCTCCTCCATGTTTACCTCGTGTTGTCCTTCTTCTCCTTCGTAGTACCAGTCCCAGGTGTCGTTCACATCCTGAGGTAGTTCTTCATTGTTGTCATGATCTGCTTGTTCTTGTTCTAGTGGATGTAGTTCTTCTCCTTCTCCTATGTGCCATACTGGCACTCTGCAGTCTTGTGTCCAGTGGCCAGGCTTGCCACATCGATGGCATGTTGTGTAGTTGTTGTTTCCTTTTCCTTTTGATTTGCTGTAGTTTCCTTGGCCTTTGTAGCCTTTGCTTGATCCATATACTTTGGATCCTGAGTAGCCTTTTAAATTTCCTTTGCTCTTGTTGTATCCTCGTTTGTTGTAGTTTCCTTATGGGCTTGGCCTTTGGTCGAATGGGAGTTGAGCCATTTGCTTCTGTACTTGCCTTTTTCCTTTGTTTCCTTTGTAGTGGTCCTTGCCTCCATATTTGCCTTTGCCTTTAGTAGTTTTATCTTCTTTCTCCCAAATGCTGTCACGTTCCATGGTGCTGCTTCACATTGTAGTTTGT